TTCTATGTCATCTAGGTCTTTATCTCGTGAATCAATATTGGAGTCGGCCTTCTCAATGGTACAGAAGGTTTAGAACTGCCTGCTCTAGAGGATGAACCCCTAAGTCCGTTTTTCACTATCTTTGTTTTTGCCAAGACTTCATCATAAGTACTCAGTTCTAAAACTGCAAGAGAATCCTAAATTTCTAGGTGTAGCCCCCACTGGAACTTCCTTGCCCTTTATCCTTCATCAGTCATGATTGTTAGAGCAAAACGAGTCAATTTAGTAAACCTCCAAGGATACTCATCTACTAACAAGTTTCCTTGAGTTAGCTGCATAAATTCCAACTCCTTATGATGTTGAAGTTGTGAAGAAAAATATTCAGCGTTGAACGCCCCCAGAAACCATTCCCAGGTGATGAGAGGGGGTAAAGTGGTCTGCCTGAACTTCCACCAACGGTCAGCTTCGCCTACAAGTAGATATGTAACAAGAATCATTTTCTGCTCAGTAGTCACCCCCAAAACTCGGGATGTCTTTTCAACTGCCTTTAACCATCCTTCAGCTTTAATAAAATTTTTTGTAGCGAAAGTAGGAGGATTAAGTCTCATAAACCTCCTTCGACAATCTGGATCCGTAACGGGTGGTTCTAGATTATGTGGAGTCGGTACTGTGGGAGGACCAAGTATCCCTTCCCTAGGCTGATTGACAAGCTCTTCTACCATGTGGTACAACCGATCAATATTTTTTTTGAAAGGACATATAATTGGGATGTTGCCCCGGTGGAGGTCGTCAATGTCTCATTTTACAACCCTACATCCAGAAAAGAATGGATTAGAATATTTCAATATAATGTTTTCTACTCTTCAACATTCTAAAAATGGTAAGAAATCACATTTAAACTCTAAAATCTCATGCACATGGGATGATTTTAGGAATGTGGGCTTAGATACCACTTTTCATGCCCCAAAACTCAAAAATGAGGCGCAATTCCTACTCATGTCATTTTCATACAATGGCCCCACTAAATATGTATATGCATAGCTCAAAAATTAACATAAAACCTAATATTTCATGTGATATATACAGTAGTTATATATACAGAACATGAGATCCAAATTTAGAAATCAATAAAACAAAACGAAAATTTCTAGAATATGAAAAAAATATACTGAACATGAACACTTTCACAAGTTCTACTTGTCTGATCGCGA